GCTCAGCCTGGCTATGGCAAGCAGCCCAGCCTGAGGAGGAGGAAGAAGGGGGCGAAGGAGGAGAGTGGCGAGGTACCTACCTGGCTATGGTGGACGCCATCTTCATCACCTTGTCGGGCGCTGCATCTGGATGGCCCCAGTTGGGGTAGTGCCGCACCAAGGAAGCTCGAGGCAGAGTCAGGCATGGCGGCTTAGTCAGCAGCGGCATAGCTGCTTTGGGTTGTCCTTTGGACAGGAGTGCAGCGCCATAGCTGCTTTCTGTTGTCCTTTGCACAGAGAGGGGCAGAGCCCTCAGGTTTCCGCCATAGCCTAGGCTTGTGAGAGGTGGAAGAAGGGGGGAAGCCATAGCTATGGTGGACCTGTTGTTGTTGTGTCAGCAGTAAGAGGGAACTTCGGACATTGATTCTGGTTCATCCACTCGTTGTTATTATTATTATTATTGGGAGAAGAATAAGATTGGCGAAGTGAAGGAGGAGGAGGACGGTGGAGAGAGAAGGGGGATTTGTCATTGGTCTTGCTGGTGTACATCTTCTTCTTCTTCTTTTTCTCTTCTTTGGTTTCTATCTCTTTGCAAGTACTTTCATTTCTTTCGCATTTGGGTGGCATTGTCTTTCATTGTGAATTTGCACTTTGGGAATGACCAGGATCGTAACAATTGGTATCGGAGCGGACTTACTTGCTGGCGAGAGGTGTTAGTCACCCTAGACCTAATTCCGGATTAGGTTAGGGCTAACCTAATCTCGGATCAGGGTTGGAAGTTAGGGTTAAGAGGGGCAGTGAGGTATGTGGATACTGCCCCCACCTGGTTAGGTCATGTAGGTCGACATCAGACCTGACAAGGTTGCTTGTGTGATTGGATGGGGTGGCGAGATACAAAGGAGGCTGATTGGAGTAAGCGGGAGGGAGTAGAGAGTGAGAGGTACGCGCACCTGGAATCTGCACTTCAAGAAGACATTGAGTGACTTTTGGGCTTCCCCTCAAGAGGGAGACTTGATCGGAGGCCGCCATATTTGCATCGAAGAGCTGCAAGTTGCTACTTTGTCTTCAGACATCGACGGAGGATCCGGCGTTGTAACAGGGGTGTAGGAAGGCCCTCTTAGTCATGCTAGGACACTTTGTGTAGTGGTAGTTAGGGGTCAGGAGGACGTATGAGAGAGGGGGGTGAGTTGTTATCCATCTTTGGAGGCCGGGCCTCACAGGTAAGTGTCGTGTGACCTGGTTATGCCCGTGGGAGGTTGCTTGGTGCTTCATGGCCTGTTGGGGTGTGTTGGGCTCTCTTCCTCTTCTCTGCGGTCTTGGTTGTGTGTTGGAGCATGTGGATTGCTTTGTCACGTGATGGATGGATGGATGATGTATCTTGTTCCCAATGACATATCTTTCTACGGTGCAATGTCTTTTCATTTCTGATTGGTAGTAGGGGTAAGTTCTTGCTGAAAGTTGTTTTTTCCTTTTCAATACGGTAGAGGCAATTTGGGACTGGCTTGGTACACTTATTTCGTTGGTCCTGGTCCACGACCTACTTGGGACCTTCGGGACTCAGTGGGACCAGGCCCAACGGGACAGGACCTTTAGGACCGAAATCTGTTGCCGTCAACGCATGTCTTTGCTGTGCTGAATTTGGGGGACTTACGACTAGTAAGGGCATTCCTTTCAAGGGGATCTTGACTCGTCTTACTGCATGTTCTCACATATTGCCCCGCGTCTGGCTCGGCGACCGTCTGCACCCCTCGAAATCTCAATTGCTGCAGTTAGTTTTCTTCGGCTGACTTGTTGTGGTACATGTACCTTGTCAAGTTAGACAAGAGGGGATCTCCAACTAATCTGTGATTTATTGTTTATCTTTTATCTGGACTATCTATGTCCGGTATTGAGACGCGTGCGCAGAAAGCGGAAAGAGAGAGAAGGGAGGGAGAAGGTGTTCTTTTTGAGAGTGTGAGGGGTAAGAGGAGTGTTCGTCCAAAAGTAAGCAAAAGTGCGAACCCCTCTTGAGATATCTACTGACGCCCTATCCTCCGGCATGGCAGACCTCACATCCGAGCAATGGAAGGTCATGCTGGACGTAGCGGCCGAGAGCGAGAAACCTTTCTTTCAAAAACTTTATGAGGACACAATGCACAGAGAGAGGGAGGCAGGGGCAGCAGCCAAATCCACAAGTATTGCTGCACAAGTGACCCTTCTCGAGGTTCCGGGATCTAGTGATGAGCGGTTCCAAGAGAAACTAACTGCTGCCGTAGCAGCCTTGAGTCCCGTGTGACAGCTCTAGAGCAGCGGAACCAAGAGCTGCAAGCTGAGATGGTCAACCTCAAACAGTCCCAATTGTCTGCCCCCCGTCCTCCTAATCCTCGACCTGCTGCAGTCCCAGTCTCTCACCCTAACACAGTCCTCATATCGAGAGCAAGTGGAACTGTGACGAGCGCAAGAACCGGTGCCAGCTCCTCAAGCGGCAGCGCCGGCAGTTATGCAGTGGTCCTAGTTCCAAATGCAGGAACATCAGCCCAAATCGCCGCAGTTCTTACTGGCGTACAATACATCGGTCCCGTAGTGGACAAGAGGGCGGCCACTCTGCCGTCCAAGTACGACAGGAAGGGGGACATCACCTCTTGGATTAGCTCCATGCGCTCATACTTCGAGGTAGTGCGAACACGGCAGGAAGACCGAAGCATGATCATGGGCACAAATACTGAGCCCGCCGTACGGAGTTTCATAGAACTCCAAGCTGTTGCTGCAGGTTATGAGTGAATTGATCTGACTGAGTGGCTGAAAGTAACTCCTGAACGTACTCTTGAGGACCTCCTCATCACGCAGTATCAAGGTAAGCACGCTGCACTCAAGGCAAGGCTAAAGCTTGAGGCCCTCAAGGGCCAAAAGTGGAGAACTTCCATGCAGGCTTTGGAGCAGCACTTGATTGGTCTGTTCACCACTCCAAACCTGGGATGGACTGACGTGACTTGCATGGATGTAGTTATGGGAGTGGGCTCTAAAGGTTATGTCTTTCGGTTAGGACTGAAGGGCCATACGACCTGGTGTGAGCTACTGACGGATCCAGTCAACCTAGAAGTCGAGGACCTCACTAGGCGTGCAAAGGCACCCGCTGCAGGTAGAACCTCGTGATGCAAGCGGTACGCAAACAGCAACCAGCTTGCCCTGCATGAACATCGGGAGGCTAAGGATCAGTCCTACGCGGATGATCTGTCTCTAGATGACGATTTAGAGCCGGACTCCGACATGGGCTGTTCTACATCAGCCATTGAGTTTGACATAAATAAAGAAGAAAAATGTAATGCCTTCAAAAAGACTGCTTCAAGCAAGGGGCCTAACCGTGGTTCGGGTAGGGGAACTATAGCACACCTCCCCAAGAATGCGAAGATCCCTGAGAAGTCAGAGGATGCTTCCACCAAACCTTGGGAAGCCCTCTGCATTAGCCAAAAAGAATGGGAGAGAAGATCCAAACTGCGAGTGTGCTTGCATTGTCAGAAGTCTGGGCATGCTGTGCAGGAATATTATCGTCTGCAGGGAAACAAGCAAAGGGTGTAAAGGAGTTATCAGCACTCTCTACAACAAGGGGAGTTGAACAGTCAGTTGCAGGTCCCTCCAAGGAGCCTGAATCTGATCAACATCCTGCTCTTGAAGCCCGGACCGATTCTGAAACCAAGGCTGACGCAATCCAGGTACTTTACACTGAGCCTTGGGAGGAGACTAAGGAAGTTGACTTCCACTCTCACCTGGAACATTAGCTGCAGCTCAAGCAGCAACGCCGTGTTCAAGGGAGGGTGGAAGTGACCTTCTTTAAGTTGCTCATTAACCGCAAATACATCCGTGTGCTGATTGATAGTGGCTCAACGACTAACTTCTTTTCTCCTAACGGATTCGTAAGGCGGGTCTTGGAGTGAAGCAAGTGGAATTGCAGAACCCTTGTCAGACCCAGGTAGGCAACCAAGAGGTTGTCACCTCAACACGTGTTGTCAAAGGTGTGCGCGTCACCTTTGACAAGGAT